CCCAGAGAGCCCTGGAAATGTAGGCCAACAGGAGAGAGCCACCAGAGGGCAAGAAGCTCTCATCCACCCTCTTCCGTGACTGCCCAAAGTAAGGTTTACCATCTGTAAATGCTTTGGGAAAGTAGGGCATGAAAGAGAGGGTACACTGTGGACTCAGGCAGGCGCGGAACTGGTTCAGCTTTTTTTTTTTTTGCCAGTACTGGGGCTTGAAATCAGAGTCTCGTGGTCTCCCTTAGCTTTTCTGCTCAAGGCTGACACTCTATCACTTGAGCCACATCACTTTCAGTTTTATGCTGATTCGTTGGAGACCAGAGTCTCAGATTTATCTGTCCAGGCTTGCTTGGGACTCGGATCCTCTGACCTCAACCTCCTGAGTATCTAGGATTACAGGCATGAGCCACCGGCATTTAAGTTCATATTTTTAAAAAGGTGATGCTTGGGGTCTCTGTAAGAATTCCCAAACGCTGAGAAGACTAGGTCAGAATGCTCTGGAGTTGTTCTGGATTGGACCAGAGACTTGGCCAAAAGAGTAGTCAGGTGAAGAGCTGAAGAAGGGCTAATTGTCAAAGGGTAGGAGATAAAATTCTGTTTCCTTGGCAACATGAAATGCCTTGGTTCCTAGCCCTGATCCCTATCCCCAACTTCCCTCATATCTAATAGCTTCCAAAATGTTAGCAGCCTTGTGGCTGCCTCCACCTTAGAATGAGGCCAATGTATATGTTGTACCTGGATCCTTACAGAGGCAAGAAGAAGGAGGGACACATGAAAGACTGGACCAAAGGGCTGGGAAGGTGGCTCAGTGGTAGAGTGCTTGCCTTGAATGCATGAGGCCCTGGGTTCGATTCCTCAGCACCACATAAGCAGAAAAAAGCTGGAAGTGGTGCTATGGCTCAAGTGGTAGAGCGTTAGCCTTGAGCTGAAGAGCTGAGGGACAGCACCCAGGCCCAGAGTTCAGGCCCCATGACGACAAAAAAAAAAAAAAGACTGGACCAAAGCATGAAGAAACATGACTCAGAAGCCAGCCTGATCCCTGACCGGAGGAAGACTACCTACCCTACCAGCTACCAGCACCTTCTCCTCTTAATCCAGTCTCTCTGGGACCAAAACTCTGGAATTCCTGTGCGAGTTCTCCTTTTGTTGTTGTTCTGACTGATTTTGTCCTGAAAATCATTACAAATCCTGAGAAACTTCACTGCTTTAAGGACCCATGAATCTCCAAAATGGCTCCTCACATGAGTGAGATGTCCCTTGCCCAGGAGTCTTACTGCTGGGCTCAGGTCCTGTGCCCTGTGGAGTCTCAAGGCCATTTGCTGGAGCTCAGCCTGGAAAGGCCCAAGTACAGAGGCCAAGATCCTCTCAGGAATGGATTGTGCTCTTGGCATTAAGCTCTCTTGCCACTGTCCAAGGGGCTTTCCTCTAGTGCTGGACCACAGCACACAGTGTTGGGTGCCATCAGAGGGACTATACTTCCTTCTATTTCCATATCATTGGAGAAGCTTATTTTAGTTCTACCATAGCTGACCTCCCTCCCCTGCCCCCCTCCCCCAAGTAAAAATAAGGCTCCTTAACTGGTAGAAGAAGGCAAGAAGGAAGACCTGGATTCACAGATCAGACAGGACCCCTTGGATCTTTACCCAGTAACTTACACTGCTTTAGTGGGACTATGAGTAATTCCCTTCTGTAAGGGAATTGATCCTAGAGACACATCTACCAGAATCCATTGAGTCAATACGATATTAAAAAAAGAAGAGGCTGGAGAGAAGGCCACCAAGAGAGTGTGAAGGAAGGCTAGAATGGGGGGGCCCGTGCACACCACGGCCTAACCCCTAAAGTCGAGGCTCCTTGGGGACAGATGACCACCTCTGCTCATGGCCCCAGGGCCTGTGCGGGCCGCCACCCTCCTCCTCCCGCGCTGCGCAGGCTGGCGGATTCCACGGGCGATCAGACGGCGGCGGCGGCGGCGGCGCGGCACAGACAATGGCGCTCTGTCCCGGGCCTCGGGACGACAGCTCATCCCTATGCAGTGGTCGCCTCCCCCCGCCCGGCCGGGCCGCCAGCCCCTTTCAGGAGGTGGAAGCCGAGGCGGCGACGGAGGGGGATTCTCACAGGCCGTTAGACATTTGCATAGCGGCGCGGAGACATTGGCCCGCATTGTTCCCGGCGGCGGCGGCGGCGGCGGCGGCGGCGGAGGGCGCACGGGCCCGGGCGCGCGGCTGACCGGCTGGGAGCGGCCGGCAGGCCAGACAAAGGAGGAGGGCGCGCACCGCCGGGAGGCGGCGGGTGGGGACATCCCCACGGTGGGAGAGAAATACCGGGGTGAGGAGGAGGGACAGGACAGCCGAGTTTGCCCGCGCACCGCCACCGCCCCGTACTTTGGACACCCACGCCGTGTCTAATTCCTCCTGGAGGGGGTGGGGGGGCGCTGCCAAGGCCCGTGATGTGAATCCCAATGGGGGGGGATCCCAGGCCTTTCCCAGGCGGCGCGACACTCCGCGCTGTCGGGTCCTCCAGAGGTCAGAGTGGCTCTGGCTACCCAGGCGCCCCGGCACCCGCGGCCCGGGTGTCCTAGGGCAGGAACTCCCCCATTGTTCTCCATATACAACTTGCCAAGGGGAGCAGTTGAGAGCCCCCCTGGTCTTCAAGCCTTCCACCTCACCTCAGCACCACCCGTCTCCCCCATTGCCAGGCCCTTGGAGGCAAGCAAGTATCCTCGTCCATCACTGTCCCCAGAGCTCAGGCACAGGGGCTGGACAGAGTTCATGAGCGGGCAAGTGTCCGATTGTCCTGCATTGAGAGTCATAATGGTGGTGATCAGAGGGGCTGTCCCTGCGTGGTAGAGACCTCATTGTCCTGAAGGGGTGAGGAAGGAGCCCCTTTGGCCGGGTCCCCAGCAGCCCCTTGACCTGTCATTGTCATCCTGTTGACCCAGTCTGAATGGATGGGCCACCGTGGCAGGGGAGCAGCAATGCTGGAGCAGGGGGCTATAGGCAAGAGGGGTGGGGGAGGGAGTCTAGCTTGTTCACCAAACGGGGTCCTAGGATACCTGTCTCCCTTGCCCTTGGAACTCCCAGAGGGAATTCTGTGATTGGGATGACCCCCATACCCAGACTTCAAATAATGGCTCAAATGGATGAAATGGAACAATCTACAGAGACTCACAATAAGGCCCTGCATTTGAGGCCAAATGAGAGAAGAAAACAGTAAAGAGCCCAAGGATGTGGTTTAAGAGCATTGAACTCTGGGTAGAGTCGCCTGAACAAAATGATGGCTGCACAAGCTTGTGGTAGAGCTTGGTGTCATTGCCTGGATCATAGAGGGAAGCAATGAAGCTTAGAACTACTTGGCTACAGGACACTTAAGGCCACCTCACCTGGCCTTCATTGGATCCTGTCCTTTTTTGGGGGGAGGGTGTGGTGGAGGGGATGCTCTTTAGGCATCTGGGAAAAGGTAGGGGAGAGCCAAAGGGTGGCGGACCATACAAGAACCCATAGTGACTTCTATAATAGTCTTATCTTTGGAAGATGGCTGGGAAATTGCCCTCTCCCAAAGAGGATCCTATTGTCCCTTCTCTAGGAAGTCTCCCTAGATTGTGATGAGTGATTTTCCCCAGCATGAACCATTCTGGGTTGGATGTGACCTTTTTTTTTTTTTTTTTTAAAGTCTAGAAGAAAAGAGAAATCAAGGAGAAAGTATCAGTTGAGGGAGAGTCAGGCTGTAAAATGTTGGTATCTTAAATAATATTCATAGCTTTCTCTACTCAAAGAGGGCTAGTCAAGAGAGTGTCTTATTCAATACTCAAATCACCCTTTTTTTGGATCTCTGTCGGAGCTCTGGGACTGCAGCCGGGGAGATGCTCAGGGTGAAATGGGGAATGGAGCCTCAGTTCTGCCAGGCTCCCTCTCCCTCAGCAGGCCCTGGCAGTGATGGGGGGCCTTTCTGCAATCTCAGCCGTCAGCCTTCCTGGTATTTCCTCTCAACATAGCTAACCCCACCAGCAAGAGGTACGATTGCTGTAGAGGAAGGAGGGAACTAAGGGCAGGAGCCTTAGCTGGGATACATGCAAAAGGACGGTCCATGGAGGGCTTATCCTTGAACCATTCTCCTCCTCTTCTGGTTTGTGCTTGGCTTCTTGAACCAGCCAAGCTCAGTTCCTCCAGCTGCACTGAGGAAGGAGAGGGTAAGACCCTGGTTCCAGGGTGAGGCTCCAGGATTGACAATTCCTCCTAAGGGTTTCCAGAGCTGAAGGGTCTTGGTTTGGAGAAAGAGGTGTTTGCAGTCATATTGAATCCTGCCAGAAACCTGAGCGAAGGGCAAGAGAGGGCAGAGGGGGTCTAGTCCTTCAGTGTGGGAGGGGCTCAGGCTCAGGCCTACTGGAATGTCGGACTCTCCATGGGATGAGATCTGAAGCCCTTGGTAGGAATTTAGTATTTAGCTCAAAAAAGGTGGATGGTGTGGATGCCTGAGAAGCAGAACTGAAGAAGACAGGAAGAGGATTAGGCTGAAGGAAGGACTTCCACTCTTGGTAGAGGATCATGGATGACACAGAGGTAGCATCTTCTCCTGGGTCTGGAGTGCCCTCTTGTGGTAAAATGACTTTAAGACAATAGAAGATCTAGGTCTGCCTTCCTCATCCTCTACCACAGCCCCAAGCCATGAAAGGCACTTATTTCTGCAGGATATGGCTATGAGATGATGGCTGCTTCCAGCTTCTAGGGGTTGGTGGAAGACAGCTTTTTATGTCTCTCTTGGGCTCTATGGGGACCTCTTCCTATTCAGACGCTGTCAGACTTTAGGATCCAAATGATAGCAGTTGGGGACAGGGGAGAATTTTGGGGCAGTTCAAAGTATGCTGAAACAGACACAGGATCTTGGAAAAGAATGGGCTCTCCATCCCTGGCAAGGACAAGCCCAGGTGGGGCACTCACCTGTAGATCATGGCATCCTGCAGGGTAGTCTGCAGACCCATTAAGGCCTTCATTAGACCCAAACAGGAGTCAGAGTCCTTGATCATAGTGTTTATCATCCTCTGCCTCCAGCTTCACTGTAACTCTGTGACACTGGCCCAGTAGATCAGAATCATTTGAGACCTCATTCAGCCACTTTTAGCCAAGGCCCAGGCTGGTAGGGCTGCGGGGATTGGCAGATATGAGACTCTCCCTCTGTCCCCACGATTATAGACCTGCCCTTTCAACCTGTCCCTTATGGAGTCAGCCTAAAGGCAGGAAGATCTTTTTGGCTCAGGACTTCTCCGCAGCAGGAGCTGAAAAGGATTTCCCAGTAGGAGCCATCCTCATCTTCTAAAGGGATAAAACACCAGAACTGGCAGCAGTCAGGCCCGAGTGTCTGATTCTTCCATGTTCAATGGTGTCTGAGCTTCTGGCTCATGCTGTCCAGGCACCTGGAAGGGAAGGGAACAGGGGAGGGGGATAGCTCCAAAGAGCTCAAGTTCACAGTTCAGAGATGTTTGCCATGGAAAAGAGCAGGAAAGAAAGGAAAGGAGGCAGATTAGATCACAGGAAGTAAGGCAAGGTAGGATCAAAGGGCATGAAGTCCTCATAGGTACAAGTTTTCTAGCTGTGTCTCACCTCCCAGTAAATCTGGTCCTCATAGCACTGAGAATCTGATGGGGAGTCCAGATATGGAAACCTCAGCAGGAACCCTGGCAATGAGAGGCATACGTGAGACTTTTCTACCATCTACCCCAGGGGGAAGTTGCTACCCAATGCCACAAGGCACAGAGGGACCAGGAGGCATAAGGGCAACATGCCCTGCTGCAGGCAAACAAGAGCTACATTTGCTGAGCATCTACTCTGTCTAGGCCCTATGCCCAGGGCTTAACAATACCTTCCAGAGAAATTGCAGCAACCCTACAAGGTGCCCTGTGTTACCAATGAAAATACAGAGGCTCAAAGAAGTTAAGTAACTTGCACAGTCAGTAATAGGCCAAGTCTTGTCATGAACCATAGTTCATAAGCTTTCTGTAGTTTCCCACTTAGAAGGGCCCAGAAAATGTTTACTGTATACATAAGTTATTAAGTGAAGGAACTGAACCTTAGAGGATGAAAATCTTGGGTGAGAGGACAGTGGGTATTCTGAGTCAGGATTTTTTTTTAAGACACCAAGGACAGCCTGACCCAGTGTCAGTGGTCAGTCAGCCTTTGTGGAAGGAAGGTTTGTACTCTCGCCTGAATCTCACAGATGATGGGGCCTGAGATGATGTACCTCAGCTGGGGAAGGGCTGCCCTCTAGTGGTCAGAGGAAACAGCACATGTGAACGAAACCCAAGGAAAAGGGACCAACCACTCCCACTTAGCAACCAGGAGGGAGCAAGCATCCACTTGTACCCTCTCATCCAAAGGCGGTCCCTTCCACCCAGGGAGATCCCTCTCACTTAGGGCCCCTCAACTTGATTCAGCTCATCACCTGGCACAAGTTAGGACCTCAATACATATCTGTGATAAATGAATCAATGTTGGGGTAGAGGATTCCAAGGCCCTTCCTCCAGAGGACTCCTTCTCTCTCTTCTCTCCATTTAGAACCTTCTAGCAGCCTGCCACCCTCAACCAAGACCACTCACCTCCAAGACTTCCGCCCACAAAGGCAAACACCAATGTGACAGACAGCCCAAAAAGCTGGTACACGGCTTGAGATTTGGCACTGCGCTGGCCCTTAGCTATGAGTGGAAACACATTCTCCAGGCTGCAGGAAGATCAAGTTATGGAGAACCAAGGGTAGGGATGTAGGAAGACACAGATGGAGTGTGGATCCAAGGCTAGTTATATATCAACATTCATACAAAGGACAGGAAGCAGCCAAAATGGCTTCCAGGGATCCTGGAGCCTGCCAGATAGAGTCATCCCCAGGCCTTTGCTGAAAGCAGGCCATAGACTGGAGTGCCATCCTGCTCATATGTCAGCAGATCCCACACATTTTTCAAGACCCAATTTGAGGTTCGCTTTTGCCTACTCTCTCCTCTGAGGCCTAGAATGTGCAAAAATAGATCCCCAAATCATTTGCTCAATGATCAGGAGAGCGGTCCCCAGGTTAGTCCCATTCTTTCCAGTTTCCTTATATGGTGAAAAAACTCCAGACTCTCACAGTATGGTAGATGAGTAGATGAATGAATGAATGAATCAAAACACATGCTGAGTTTTTTTTTTTTTTCATTATTGGCCCGCAAAGAGGAGAGGAAGGGAGATCATTCCAATGGAATAACTTATGTGGGCAAGGAGAAACTCACCCATCTCCATAAGCTTCATGGGTGGCCAGTCCAGCCACAAGGACTCCCAGAAATGCTCCCAAGACCCCTGGCATACCGTGGAGGTTGTGGACGCCACAAGTGTCTTCAACTTTGAATTTTGACTCTAGGATGGGCTGGAGGACAGGATGGGTAATCAGGCTCACGTTTTCCCTCCCACACCCACCCTAAACCTGCTGGGGAGGTAGAAGTGACTCCATGTTCTACCAGGGCTCTGAGATGTTGCTGTACCGTTAAGAACTTGTACCCCAGTGTGGAGATAGTTCCAGCCAAGAAGCCAGCAGTAAGAGCCCCAAAAGGTGTCAGCATCATTTCCCCAGATGTCCCCACCACAACCCCTCCAGCCAGTGCTGCATTTTGGATGTGGACCTAGGGGAGAAGGAAAGGGCAAAGTTTTAGAGGCCTTTCAATCACCACACCACCTTCAACCCAACCCCAGCTCTTATAGTGGCACCTACTGCTTGTGGAAGAAGTCCATCTGCCATCTAACCTCTAGCTCTCCTGCTCTCTTCCCACTCTCCCCACCACCACCAGGACAAATAGAACCCCTTGTGCTTGTTTCCTTGGAGACTTCCCTGAACCATCTCAGACCTCTCTACCCCCTACCAGGCTGTCCCTCTGCTTCTTTAAGACCTCCTCTTCATACCATGTCAAGTCGCCCATCACCGCTGACAAGGGCTGAAAGGGCAAAGGTGCTGAGAGTGCTTGCTGTCAGGGAGTAGTATGTGTTGAGGGCTGTCCGATGCTGCACATCCCCCAGTGATGTGGGTGCAGAGTTGAAGCTAGGCCAGAAGATCCATAGGAAGATAGTCCCTAAATGGTAGGCCATGAGAGAAAGCAAGTGGCTCACCCACAAGTTTCAGACAAAGTCACCTGCTCTCTGCAGCCTCAGTTTCCTCATCCACATGTGAAACTGATAATAGTATTATTTCATAAAGTGAGGGTTAAAGGAAGTGATGCTGTGTGTGTGTGTGTGTGTGTATGTGTGTTTGTGTGTGTTACATGGGGCTTGAACTCAGGGAAGACCTGCTGTCTCTTAGCTTTTTTGATTAAGGTTGGTGCTCTGCTTTTTTTTTTGTCGGTTGTGGCCTTGAACTCCTAGGACTGGGGGCTGTCTTTGAGTTTTTTTGCTCAAGACTAGCATTCTTCTACTAGAGCAATATCTCCATTTCTGGCTTTTGGGTGGTTAATTGGAGATGAGAGGCTCACAGATTTTCCTGCCCAGGCTTGCTTTGAAGTGTGATCCTCAGATCTCGACCTCTTAAGTTGTAAGGATTACAGGTGTGAGCCACCAGTGCCCAGCTGGTGCTCTACCATTTAAGCTACAACCCTAATTTTGGTGATTAATTAGAAATAAGAGTCTCACTGACTTTACTGCCTAACCTGGATGAACTGTGATTCTTAGATTTCAGTCTCCTGAGTTGCAAAGATTACAGACAGAAGCTATCAACAGCCAGCTGGAATACTGGAAGGTGTTTTTGTTTTTTGTTTTGTCTTGTTTTTTGTCAATTGTGGGGCTTGAACTCAGGGCCAGGGCACTTTCCCTGAACTTTTCTGATCAAGGCTATTGCTCTACCACTTTGAGCCTCAGTTCCACTTCTGTTGTGGGGGTGGCTAATTAGAGATTACCGTCTCACAGATTTTCCTGTCTGGACTGGCTTTGAACCATGATCCTCAGGTCTCAGCCTCCTGAGTAGCTAGGATTACAGGTATGAGCCACCAGTGCTCAGCTCTGAAAAGGTTTTAAGCAGGAGGGAAATGGATTTGGAAAAGTCTCTGGGTGTGGATGGGTAGATGTGAGTGCCCCAGGGCTGAAACCAAAGAACGTGTTACAAAACTTGTAAGAACGATGAGCTCACACCTCAAGGCTTTCCATACAGAATCCAGGTACGAAGGGAATTCCCAGCCAGAACCCTGTGGTCCTGCGGTCCACCCCAGGAACCTTGACTGTAGATAGTCCACACCGGCCCACACCCCAGGCATCTGAAACCAGTCATCCTATGGCACCCCACCTCAGAAGGCCTCACCAATCATGGCAAAGAGGTCCGAATGGTAAACAGAGCCCTGGCGATGCTTGCTCTTCTCTAGTTGGGGCCTGTAAAGGACCCGTGAAAAGACCAGCCCGAAGTAGGCACCAAATGTGTGGATGGTCATGGAGCCTCCAGCATCTCTTACCTGCAGAAGTAGAGCTGAGATGGAGAGACAGCCCTGGTCCTCACCCAAACACCTGCACTAAGCTTAAAATCCCAGTCTTGACCACCCACGCCCTCACACAATGCCAGTCCAGACTCACCCCCAGGAGGCTGAGGAGCACAAACTCATTGACGCCAAACATCACCACCTCCAGCAGGGCCATGAGCAGCAGCTGGACAGGCCCAGTCTTGCCCAGAACTGCTCCGAAGGAGATGAGCACCGCCCCGGCACAGAAGTCAGCGTTGATCATGCTGTAGTGGCACAAAATGGGAGGAGAGAGACAGGGAAATTGCTCCTGGGCTTCTGCCAGGCATGACACAGGGACAGCACAACACAGGCAGGGGAAGGTGAAGAGGCCAAGGGAGAGGGGGCGCTCTCCCCTGGGAGCCACAAGGAGTTACTCTACCCTTCCTGAGAGAAGTCTGAGCTAAGCTCAGTGACATGGCTGACAAAACTCACACTAAGTGGATGAACCAGAATGTGAGCCAAGAGTTCATCTATGCCTTGCCCTTTTCTACTATGCCAGCTAGCCTTGAAGCTCTTGGGAAATATGGGCCCTAAAAGAGTGGAGCAGTGGAACACAATGTGTGGGCTGAGATTGGAAGAAATCAGAACAGGCAGGAAGGGCACTAAAGAGATCAATTGATGAATCAAAAGCAGGGGTCAAAGATGGGTGTAGGCGACTGTAATCCTACTTAGGAAGCTGAGACCTGAGGATCCTGGTTCAAAGCCAGCCCAGGCAGACAAAGCTACAAGACTCTTATCTCCAATTAAAAATCTGGAAGTAGAGCTGTGGCTCAAGTGGTAGTGTACTAGCCTTGAGCAGAAAGCAATAAAAACTCAGGGATAGTGCTCAGGTCTTGATTTCAAGCCTCAGTCTCCATCCCAGCAGAAATAAACAAACAGGAGTCAATGACTCATGTCTGTAATCCTAGTTATCCCAGAGACTGAGATCTAAGGATCGAGGTTCAAAGCCAGCCCAGGCAGGAAAATCTGTGAGACTCTTGTTTCCAATTAACTACCAAAAAGCTGGAAATGGCTCTGTGGCTCAACATGGCAGAGTACTAGCCTTGAGCACAAAAGGTCAGGGACAGCGTCTTGGCCCTGAATTCAAGCCCCAGGACTGGCAGAGAGAGAGAGAGAGAGAGAGAGAGAGAGACAGACAGACAGACAGAGAAGAGAGAGGGAGGGAGGGAGGGGAGAGGGAGGGAGAGAAAGAAAGAGAGGGAGAGAAAAACCAGGGATCAGGAAGCACACCAGTAGGACAGTGAAGGGAGCCAGAGGCCTGCTGCTGCTCACCTCTCCACACCCACATAGATGTGACCATGGTGGAAGGAGTGGAAGAACCCCTGCACCAGTGTGGACCACTGCAGGGCAAAGGCGGCCAGGAGGAAGGTGAATCCCACGCTGCTGAAGCCATAGCGCTGCAGGAAGACCATGAGGAAGCCGAAGCCCACGAAGATCATGACATGCACATCCTGGAAACCTGCAGCAGGCAAGGGGCATGTGGAGGCATTGGAGTTGCTCTGGCCACGGTTCATAAACCTGTGCCTATGCTCTGGCTGTACCAGCCAGGGCTACCTATAAAAACTTCCCAGGCATGGCAGGGCCTCCCAGGCTTGAGCCACCTGAGCAGAGCTGACCAGCTTGGAGCAGTGGGGACCAGACAACCCCTGCTGTCCTCCGGTCAGAGCAAGGGACTAGAACCTTCTACTCTAATAATTTGTTCATTGAACTTGGTACCTGATGCTTTCACTCATTAGCTAGTGCTCTACCAACTGAGCCTCATTTCCAACCCAGGACAGTTTATTTCCCTCTTTTCTTGCTTTCTGGAAAGCTCAGTGCTGAACTGACATGTCAACTGAAACAGTATAGGCCTTTATAGCATTTGTTATTTCAGAAGTTCTGTTCTATTTTTGTTTTTCTTCCTTCTATGGGATATGCATACCTAATCTAAAATTTTTAAACCCAAAATGCTACAAAATTTAAAACTATACTGAGCACCAACTTGTTGCCCCAAGTGGAAAATTTCATACATAACCTTATTTAATGGGTTGAAAACTGCAATAACACTGAAAATATTGTAGAAAATTACCTTCAGGCTATTTGTATAAGGTGCATATGAGACATATTAAATTTCTTGTGTAGACTGGAGCCCTAGCCCCAAGATACTTCATTATGTTTATGCAAGTATTTCAAAATCTAAAACACTCGAATTTCAAAATAAGGTATATTCAAAAAAATTTAGGTAAGGTATATTCAACCTGTCCATCAATTTTTTTGTTGTAAATGACCTCAAATCTCTTGTAGAAAGAAACAGATTCTAGGGCTGGGAAGGTAGCTCAGTGATAGAGTGCTTGCCTTGCATGCATGAGGCCCTGGGTTCAATTCCTCAGCACTACCTAAGCAGAAAAAGCTGGAAGTGGCACTGTGGCTCAAGTGGTAGAGCACTAGTTTTGAGCTGAGGACAATGCCCAGGCCCAGACTTCAGGCCCCATGAACAGATTCCAAAGGGGAAAAAATGAAGTGTGTGTGTGTGTGTGTGTGTGTGTGTGTGCATGTGTGTAACCATTGGGCATTGGGGCTTGAACTCAGAGCCTTACACTCTCCCTTGTTTTTGTTTTTTTTGTTTTTGGGTCTAGTCGTGGGGCCTGAACTCTGGGCCTGGGCGCTGTCCCTCAGTTCTTCAGCTCAAGACTAGCACTCTACCATTTGAGCCACAGCGCCATTTCCGGCTTTTTTCTTATGTGATGCTGAGGAATCGAACCCAGGGCCTCGAGCATGCAAGGCAAGTACTCTACCACTGAGCCACCTTCCCAGCCCCTCCCTTGGTTTTTTCACTGAAGGGGGGGCTCTACCACTTGAGCAATAACTGTATTTCCAGATTTTTGCTGATTAATTGGAAACAGAAGTCTCTGCCTGGGCTGGCTTTGAACTGGGCTCCTCAGAGTTCAGCTTTCTGGGTGGCTAGGGTTACAGGCATAAGCCACTAGTGCTCAGCTTTTTTTGTTTAATCTGAAAAGGCATCAGGAAATTATCAAACAATTCAATCAATAACTTTGTGAGGAGCAAAGTTCTTTGCTTTTTTGGCGCCATACAGAAAGATAGGAACTGAGTTTTCAAGCGGAGGGTTGTGTGTTGGAATTAGCGGCCAGCAGTACCAGCAGCCAAGGAACCAGGGCCTAAAAGCCTCTGGCCTCACTAAGTAACCCCTACAGGGCTTCTCCAGATGATTGTTCAGGCCTCTCGGCCTGACTTCTTTTCTCCTGAATAATGAGTAAAGAGGAGACCTTGCCTTTCTGTGCCCAAGGACAGTAAGACATCAAAGGGAGCTGGGTCATGGTGCTCCAAGCCCATTACATGCACAAACTGTTCTGGAACTTGTTTTAAATAGTGATAGTGTTTATATCTCCTTACCCAGGTTTGTTTGGAGTCAAAACTCAATATCTGGCCATTCAACTGGAGTCTAAGCATCAAGTGGTTTCTCTCCCTGGGGAACATTTCATACCAAGAGTCTCCTTGGGCTCTGATGGGTAAAGGGCTAGTACAATGAGAGATGGGATGATGGCTAGGATGATCCTCTCCACCCTTCAGGAGCATGAGCCTACATCCTGCCCTCTTATATCCCCCCAATCTTTGATTGGAGTAGATAAAAACTCCTTACTTAGCCAGGTGCTCAGTGACTAACATCTGATATCCTAGCTATGCAGGAGGCTGAGATCTGAGGATAGAGGTTTGAAGTCTTTCAGAGCAGAAAAGTCTATGAGTGTCTTATCTTCAATTAACCATCAAAAAGCCAGAAGTGTAGCTGGTGCTAATGGCTCATACCTGTAATCCTAGCTACTCAGGAAGCTGAGATCTGAGGATTGCAGTTCAAAGCCAGCCCAGGCAGGAAAGTCTGTGAGACTCTTATCTCCAATTAACCACCAGAAAACTGGAAGAGGCACTGTGGCTCAAAGTGGTAGAGTGTTAGCCTTAAACAACAACAAAAAAATGAGTTCAGGGACAGCACCTAGGCCCTGAGTACAAGCCCCATGACCAACAAGAACAAAAAACCAAAAAGAAGTAGAGCTCTCTCCTTGAGTGGAAAAGCTAAAGGAGTGTGTGTCCAAGCCCTGAGTTCAAGCCCTAGTACTAGCAAAAAATAAAATAAAATAAACCAGCTACTAGTTCATCCCTTTTTTAATTTACGGTATGACTTTGGGCAGGTCACATGTTTCTGAAACCCTCCCCAACATTTGAAAGAGGTGGATCAGATGCCCTGATGATTTTTCCTGTACACAAAACACAGCCCTTCAGAGTGGCCATGCCCTTGACACTGGCCAGTCCCGGAGCTCACCAACAACTGCACAATTTCCTTTCATCTCCCAAATCAAAGGATGGTGGCTGCACCTCCCTCTGGCCCTGAACCTTTCCCTTGGACACAAGGAGAGGTGAGGACCGGGTTCATCAAAGCTCTGAGCACTAGAGACCTCTCTCCTGCCCAACCTTTCCTCACCACAGGGTCAAAGTCCACAGGGACAGGAAGCTAGAGCAGAGAAAGAACACAAATACAGCTATGTCCTTCTTACTGCACTGTGTGTCTGAGATCTAGCACTGCTGAAGGGCTAGAGGTTGGACTCCAGGAGGCTTTGTAACAGGCAGGCAGGGTTTTGAGGTCCTGAGTGAAGACCACAGAAAAAGCAAGCCAGGGGGTGGAGTTGGGGGCCAAGGAAGATAACGAAGTCAGATTCATGGGCAAAAGACCTTCCTTTTCTTTCTTTCTTTCTTCTTTTCTTTTCTTTTTTTTTCTTTTCTTTCTTTTTTTTTTTTTTTTTTTTTTGTTGTTGTTGTTGGTTGTGGAGCTTGAACTCTGGGCCTGGGCGCTGTCCCTCAGCTCTTTAGCTCAAGGCCAGCACTCTACCACTTGAGCCACAGCACCACTTCTGGTTTTCTGGTAGTTTACTGGAGATAAGAGTCTCACAGAATTTCCTGTCCGGGCTGGTTTTGAACCATGATCCTCAGACCTCAGCCTCCTGAGTAGCTAGGATTACAGGTGTGAGCCACCAGTGCCTAGCAAGGCCTTCCTTTTCTAGCCTCTGGACTCTTCCTTCTGAATTCCCTAGCTCTCTGGACAAACACATGACCCAAGAGTCAGCAGCCCAGCTTTGTGGCTCTGATTTTGATCCTAGCTTACAACCTGCTCATTTTGCCTAGCCAGGGCTGGGGATGAAATGTGAGAAGGAAAGAAGCATAGCCTCTTCTGCCATTGATGGCTAGGTCTAGTGGGTCTAGCGGCTAGAGAGTCTAGTGTCTAATACCTAAGACAGAGAGTAACCAGCCCACCCAGTATATCCCAATCTTCTTAGCTTCATTTTGCTGTGGCTAGGATAAGGTGAGGTGTGGCCAGTGTCACCAGCTCTGCATATAGAAAGTAATGTAATAATAGCTTGGGAAGTTTTATAGGAGACTCTCACATCTTAGGTCTTGCTTGAATGAATATCCTTTAAACTAAGGCATCTTTTTCCCTATTGCTCAGATGGAAAAAACTGAGGTTTAGAGATCTGCTGAGTATTTATTATGTCTATAGTTTTGAGGTTTGGCTGACTAGGGCATGAGTTACAAAGTAGCCTCCCCAAAAAATCTTGAAGAAGCTGTATCTCCATAGAAATATTAACCTCCTCTTCCTGAATCTGTGTGTGTGTGTGTGTGTGTGTGTGTGTGTGTACTGGGGCTGGAACTCAAGGACTGAACACTGTCCATTAGCTTCTTCACTCAAGATTGGTACTCTACCAGTCAAGCCACACCCCCATTCTCCTTCTGAATTTTGTCAACAGGAAAGCAACCTGTGGTTCAAGGAATAGCCTAGCAAAATCCAATACGGCCAAATAGAAGGAAGGACAGGAGTGTGGCTAAAATGGGGCTTTAGATCTGAATTCAAATCCTACCGCCATACCCAAATCCCACTTGATCCTAAGTCAACCACTTAATTCCCCATAGCCCCACCTTTGTCTCTTACATGCTAAATGAGATCATGGCTGGGCCTTCCTCAGCAGGGTACTTGGATGGTGGCCTACTATAAAAGAAGAATGCAACTCTAAGTCCAAGGATTCCCATTTCAAGGAGAGGTGCCCACACAGGGGCAGATCAGAGCACCTAAAAGCCCCCTCCCAAACACCTGGGGCTTGGAGGCTTTGCGCCCCACGCGTCCTCACCCGCACTCACTTGGGTAGCGAAAGTAAAACTCATTGTCCGAGTTACTGTGGTTGCCCAGGTGCCAGGCGGCAGCGTCGGTTTCGTGGTTGTAGCGGACAAAGATGGCAAAGAGGATGGCGGTGATACCCTGGAAGAGGAGGCAGAGCAGGGGCAGTTGCAGTCGCCGGCCCGCGGCGCGGCGGGGAGACTCGGCCATGGGACCGGGGCTGTGTAGGTGCAGGCTCTGGCTGGGGCTCCTGGCGCTCGGGACCAACTTGACACTCCCAGGTCCGGCATGCCAGACAAGTTTCGCCGGACGAAGAACCGCCCAGATGAGGCCACGCCCTCGCTAGGCCACGCCCTCGCCGCTGTAGCCTTGTGTTGTAGGGAAGGAGGGGGCGCTAGACTCGGCGTCCCACAGCGTTAGGTGAGCGGGGACTGGGCGCGGTTGGTCTTCCTACCCCGGTGTCTTGTGCGCTAGTTTGACCCCAGCTCCCTGAGCTCTGTCCTGGTTGGGTGAAGTCCTTGAAAGTGACCCTGAAAAGGCGCATTTTGTTCTGCTAGGGCCCAGCTGCAGGACCTGGTGGTGGGTGGAGAGAGAGAGAGGACCTGCTCCCCTCGTATTTGGTATTGAAGAATCCCAAATCTGGAACTAAGGCCACCCACTCAGTTAAACAGGCCAAGGAGTCTTTATTAACCGCGCCTTGGCTACACCCCACTAATTGGGTAGTAGGATTCGGTGAGTTCTTTTTCCCATGAGGGTCTTTTAAAGGAAAAACCACATGCTGGGGAGGTGTTGTCAAAGCAAGCAAGCAAATTTACAGAAGCAAAACATAACCTTGGGCTGCAGAAGCAGAAGCAAAACATAATCTTGAACTGCGGAAGTAAAAGTAAAACGTAGTCTTCAGCTGGTCAGCAAGACCATTACAAAAACCAAAACATAACCTTGAGTTGGGGAAAGCTTTTAGCTAATACAGCAATTCAGTACAGCTGGTGATAAACCTCAGAGTCTTCGGTGGCCTTCAGAAAAGTTTGTGATAAATTGCAAAGTTGTCAGCCTGGGAAACTTGAAAGAGGGAGAGTGTTCTTTTGCTTTTTAGCAAGGATGGAAAAGGCTTAAGCTGACTAATGGATTTTTGACCTGGAGTTTCTCTCTACAGAGGGGTTCTGCCTTTAATATTTGGCCCTATTTTTAATAATCAATAATTCTGTTTCTTTTCCTTTTATTCTTTTGTGCTGGTTCTGGGGCTTGAACTCAGGGCGTGGGCACTGTTCCTGAGCTCTCTTGCTCAAGGCTAGTGCTCTATCACTTGAGCCACAGCACCACTTCTGGCTTTTGCTAAGTATGTGGTACTAAGGAATGGAACCCAAGGCTTCATAAATGCTAGGCCAAGCACTCTACCACTAAGCCACAATCCCAGCCTTGTTCTGTTTCTGATTTCACATTTCGCGGTATTTCACAGGCTGGATGGAAGGAGTCTCTTCTCTCAAGATCTACATCCACTGGAGTCCTAGCAGGCACATAATGGGGTGTCAGACTTGTATGGAACACTTACTGTGAGCCAGACTATATAGGTGAATGGATGATTCCCACGCTCCCTTCCACCCAATAGGCTATTGTTGGACAGATCCTGTAAGAAAACACCCACCTCACAGACCTAATCTCCTCTATGGCAGCGCCTGCGCAGTAGGTAAAGCACGCTCACTTCTAGCCCCCGACCATATAAAAGGGGTCTCCAAGGAGCCAGAGAGCGCCATTTTCTCCCTTTCTTCATGAGAACTTGCCCTTGTCAACTCTGCTGGCAATAAATCTTTTCTTCTACTTGACTTCGGTCCTCATGGGCTTTTGGGTTATTTTCTTTGGAGTTACTTTCTGCCTAGGTTACATTTTTCCTTCAGATCCTGAGAAGGGAATTTGACTATCACTAGGGTAGTAAGTCTGTGATCCTGAGATACACAGGTACTATGGGGGCTCAGGAGGAGGGGCTTCAGATCCCATAAGGTGAAGGCAGACTGGGAATGGACATGGAGAATCTTCTCTGGGAGGTAATGTTTGAAGGCAGTCTGGAATCACCTAGGAACTGGGCAAAGGGAAAAGGACAAGGGGACATTTCAGGAAGTGGAAGCAGCACAGACAGCAGTCTGGCAATATAAGAGGCTGGTGTGTTCAGAAACTGAGGCTGGGTGGAAGAGTCTGGAAAGGCCTTGAAGGCTGTGTTGAGAGACATGGCTTCTACCCAGTGGGTGTTGGGCCACAGAAGTTCTGGAAGGAGGTAAGAGACCCTAGTACTACTGGTTCTGACACCTGACAGTTGTAAGAGGCAGGGACTACAACAGCACATGGTGTTCTTGAACCTCTTCTTTTTTCCCTTTGCCCTTTCTCAGTTACTCTCCTCCTTCCCCTCAGGGACTTGAACCTCCAGCATCTCCTGAACTATGGAAGACAGTTAGATTCTCTATGTCCAGTTTTCCTCCCTTAAGTACCCAGGTAGGGCACATGTGGGAGCAAAGTTCAACCTCTGGTAGCATAGCTTCCAGCTGGCCCTCAAAGCCACTATTCAGAGCCTCTCACTACTTGCTCAGCAGGAAGGCTGATTTCTGGCCCCTTCCAGGTAAGGGAGATGTCTGGTCAGCAGTCCTATGATAATAATTGTGCATCCTTCTAGACCCAAACCTCTGCCCCAGAGATACTTCTTGGGCCTTGTTTTTGAGATGGAGTTGCTCTGGACTGTCCCAGAATAATCTAGACAGGCCCTGGGAGAGAAGAAGCCTTCAAAGCCTGTAGAACAAGGAGCAGGGAGCTAGTTGGTGGCTAGCTGGTGGCTCACGCACGTAATCCTAGCTACTCAGGAGGCTGAGATCTGAGGATCGTGGTTCAAAGCCAGCCTGCGCAGGAAGGTCTGTGAGACTCTTATCTCCAATAAACCACTCAAAAACTGGAAGTGGTGCTGTGGCTCAAGTGGTAGAGCACTCGCCTTGAGCTGAAGAGCACAGGGACAGCGCCCAAGCCCAGAGTTCAAGCTGCACAACCAGCAAAAAAAAAAAAAAAAAGGAGCCATCCTGATCTGTTGTCTCCTTGAACTCCTCTGGATCTCTGATTGTTCCTCTCCTCTCTGTTCAAACATTCCTTTAGTGCTAATCCTGTACCCGTTTCTGGGGCTGCCATCCTGAGCTCTAGTCAAGAGCTAGGAATGTGGCTTAGTGGTAAAGTATTTGCCTAGCATGCATGAAGCCCTGGGTTCAATTCCTCAATACCACATACACAGAAAAGGCTGGAAGTGGCTCTGAAGCTCAAGTGGTAGAGTGCTCAGCCTTGAGCTGAAGAGAGTTCAAGCCCCACAACTACCAAAACAAAACAAAACACCAAAACCAGAAAAATGTAAAGTTCTGTTACTGTTGTGGTACTTGGCACCATTTTGTTTTTATTTTTTACTTTTTATTTTTTTTATCAGTCGTGGGGCCTGAACTCTGGGCCTGGGTGCTGTTCCTCAGCTCTTCAGCTCAAGGCTAGCACTCTACCACTTGAGCTACAACACCACTTTCGGCTTTTTCTGCTTATGTGGTACTGAGGAATTGAACCCAGGGCCTCATGCATGCAAGGCAAGCACTCTACTACTGAGCCACCTTCCCAGCCCGACCTTTTTTTTTTTTTAGCTTCTCAATCATCATCTGGAAAGAAAACATTCTTGAGTAACATCATTAAAAACAGCTCTGATAAAGCACAGTTACTACTGTATATCATAAAACAGGTACAAGGTATTTTATATTCACAGAGGATGATATAGTACTGTCCTATGTCTACAATACTAAGGATACAATTAGGGGCTGGGAAGGTGGCTCAGTGGTAGAGCGCTTGCCTTGCATGCATGAGGCCCTGGGTTCAATTCCCCAGCACCACATAAGCAAAAAGAAAAAAAGCCGGTAGTGGTGCTGTGGCTCAAGTGGTAGAGCGCTAGCCTTGAGCTGAAGAGCTGAGGGATAGCGCCCAGGCCCAGAGTTCAGGCCCCACGACTGGACCCAAAAAACAAAAACAAAACTAAGGATACAATTAAAAAGGCATTATTGAGACTTGATTCTACTTTTCTAGCAGAGGCCCATGGCTTTCTTTTGAGTCATCAACTGTTATCAGGCTATTGGGCCTCCCTCCTGCCTCTTATTGCCCTATGAAATGGGGAGAGGATTGGGTGGCGGTAGCTCACGCCTGTACTCCTAGCTACTCAGGAGGCTGAGATCTGAGGATCGCAGTTCAAAGCCAGCCCTGGCAAGAAATTCCGTGAGACTCATCTCCAATTAACCACCAGAAAACCGCAAGTGGTGCTGTGGCTTAAGTGGTAGAGTGCTCGCCTTGAACTGAAGAGCTGAGGGACAGCGCCCAGGCCAGAGTTCAAGCCCCAAGACCCACAAAAAAAAGAAAAGAAAAAGAAAAAAGAAATGAGGAGAGGTTCACTTCTCACTCCTCATTCAATTGCAGGCCTAAATAGGGCCAGGCCCCTGACTGCATCACCAGCTTCCCTCCAGCCTGGTTTGAACTCTGCCCAGTCTTTGACTTTTTGTCTCCAGTTTCCAGTGGTGACCAGCCAAGTGCCTACATGGTGGCTAAGGGAACCAGTGTCTGCTGCCTGCCTTGCCCAGCTTGGCCAGATTGTCCTAAAGGATCAAGTTGTTAGGTTTTTAAAAAGAGGTATCCGAGTAAGAACAGCAGCACGCACGTGGTATTCAGGTAAGGGGTAGGTTTATTCAGTAGACCTGCTGGGACCAGGCAAGGTTGGCACTCCACGTGGCTGGGAAAGGCCTGGGAATGAGAGAGAGCTGGGAAAGAGAGGAAAGAGCTAGAAAAGAGCAGAGAGAGCAGAGAGAGCTAGAAAAGAACAGAGAGAGAGAGCCTCTGGGCCTGGGCTAGGCCTTATCTAGGGTATGGGCGGAGAAAGGTGTGGCCACATCAAATTCAGATGAGACCTCAGCGGATGCAGATGTGACCTCTTCCAGGTGTCCCAGTTGCCTAGGTAACACAGGTACTGGGCGGAGACTTTGCTGCAAGGAGGGTGGAGTCTGCTGGCCGCCCAGGAGCGGACCTTACACAAGTATTAGGTTACTGAGTAACTGGAGGTTGTTCGGGAACTGCTCTCAACCAGTCATCACCTTCCTCCCTCCTGATCTCTTGGCTCAAGAATCCCCAAAGCCATTTAGCTCCTTTAGTTTCATGGAGTCATCCTTGCCCTTTATGAAAAGAAAAAACAACTGCAAACCAGCAAAGCACCAGAATCTTACACACGTATACACATA